TATATTTCTTGATCTGGTATGTATAATTTGTCAGTAGGTTGTTGGACTATTGCCTGTTCTTTTTTAAAAAGTATTTTATATTTTATTTTATATGTATGAGCGTTATGCCTGCATGTGTAAGTACACCCATATCATGCAGTGCCAGCGGACATCAGAAGAGGGCATCAGATCCCCTGGAACTAGAGTTACAGATGGTTGTTAGCTGCCACGTGGGTGCTGGGAATCGAATCCAGGTATTCTGCAAGAGCAGCCAGTACTTTTAACTGCTGAATCATCTCTCCAGCCCCTTGCCTGTTATTTAGAGTATAGAAAAAAGAAGTTGGAGAATTCTGGTATGGAATTGTGAAGTCCCTTGACAAAACCAAATTGTGAGGAAACAAGTATTTTGTAGACGTTCAGATAGGTGCCTACATGCCCTTTCTTACAGTAGCAGTATATTATTTACTTTCTTATTGGTGAACCAAATACCTGACAAAGAAGCAGCTTAAGAGAAGGATTATTTTCTTATGCTGGCATATGCACCTAGTGACTGCTCTGCCTTCTAGGGCATGAGAAGAAGCAGGCTATCTCCTGAGAAGGGTTCCACTGGGAGAGTATGGGCAGAGGGAATCTAAATAGTCATCTGACTCTTCCATTGACCATGCCATCCACCTACCCATGTATAAATGCAAGAAAGTAAGAATGATACCAGCAGCCACAGGCTCATGCTCAGCCCATTACGTGTGTTCTCTTGTGGAGGCCTCATATCAGTCCCACCTAGTGGACATGTTTCTGTTTTGTAGAAGAGAAAAGTGAGGCTCAGGGAAGTTAAACAATGTGCCAGACCCCAGAACCAAGAAGTGGCATGAGCAGTCAGTCAGGCAGTGGTAAAGCAGTCCATCAAACCTGTGGGATTCCCACAGCATCACAATGGATCAATACTGTGGCGTCTCTTCTTTTTTCTTGACTGGAAAGGCCAGCTGGGAACCAGAAAGCTCTGGAGCATGGCGGAAGCAAAGCTAGGGACATGGAGGGCCTCCTAGACTTCCGAGGATTTTGAAGGTGGTGGCTCTCTGAGTTTCTTGAGGTGGTATTGCCTGGTTCCATGAGTGCAGCCTATTTTCCTTGCTTGTGGCACAGCTATTATCTATCTAACTCTGTGGTCAGCACAGCCTGTGTGGAGTGTGAGTCAAAGTGTAAAAAGAAGTAGCAGATTTAATTTGTAGGATTGATTTGTGGTCTGTCAGTTTGGTTTGACTCAATTTCAGGAACTGAGTGGGAGATAAATGTGAGATTTCATTGTGTACCATCACCTCAGAAACCAATCCTTTCTTCCTACTTTCTACCTGGGAATATTGTATGGCAAGCTTTGTTGTCTAGTGTTTTTCTATTAATGATTTTTTGTGTGTGATTCATTACTCAATTAGTGATGTTTTATTGCTGCTTTGCTGCAGAGATTACAAAAAATTACTTCTTCCTCCTTGTCTGGAATATGGGTAGACTTGGCCTACATCTAATCCTGACATCTCACCCTTTGTAGTCTTTCCTCAAACTTCTACCTGTTCCTGTATGTATCAGTCAGCTTTCTGCTGCTGTGACAAAATATCTGACATATAAAGAAGGAAAGACAACTTTGTTACCACCATAATGTATACTACTTTGTTCCACCAAGTCTTCTCAGCCATGATAGGCTGATACCTTTAAAACTATGAGCCAAAATGGATCATTCTTCCCCCTAATTTGTTTATGTCAAGTATCCTGTCACAGAGAGAGAAAGCTAACAAGTTCACCCTTCCTCCTTATCACTTCCTTACTCACTTTTTACTTATGTGTCTTGGTTTTTCTTTTATTTCCTTCACTAAACCGTGGACTCCATGAAAGAGGGACCTTGTTGACTTTTTTTTTTCTGTATCCCTAGTACTCAGAACATGATAGGAGTATAAGAAAGAATCCTTTGGTATCTCTTCCCCAAACCTGTGTTTACACTGCAGCCTGCTCTAGAGTTACTCCTAAGCCTTAGCCCATGAAAAGCTGGCAATTTCATCAAGACAATGTCAGTACAACATGATCAGTGGTACCACATTTTGCACTGAGGATGTACAGGAGACAGCCTTAATTGATCCAGGCTGGGGTTGGAAGCTTCCTAGAGTAAGGAACTGGGATTGATGGCCAGTGCCCAAGCCTCAGCCTGAACTTTCCAACTCCCCAGAGACCTGCTGTCTTGCATGTCATCTGTGCAAAGGCTGTTTCCTGAACACTGACATTTTCAACATCATAGGCACACATAGGTAGGTGGATGCCTACCACAAGCCCAAGACACCTGCAAATCCCCGAGCTACAAATGCAGCCATCTTTCCTCCACAACTTCTTCCCAACCCTCATAAAGAGGAGAATTCATCCCCAAACCTAAGGCAACAGTGGTGAATGGACCTCAAAGGCTGGGACCACCGAGGAAAACTACTGAACTGAGGTTCTTGAGCAAGTGGAGTACGGCTGTGAAGAGCCTGGTAGAAGGTACTGGCCCCACTAAGGATAGGGTCTGAGAGGTTAGAGCCTGGTCCACAGGAGGCCAAGGCCAGATGGGATCCCTTGGATAGGGCTTGTGCAGCTTGGAACCAGGAGCTCTGGGCTCCCTGTGAGCCCCAGAGAGTGAGACCAGCCCAGGACAGCTCTGGGATGCTGTGACCTGGTTTGGCGATTGCCTACCACCAGTATTTTCTCCCTGGTAGTCACCATCTCTTGGATTTGGGGAGCATGTTTGCCCTGAGCCCCGGAACTTCCCCTCCGCCCACACCTTATCTTACTATTCTAAATACATATTTCAAGCCAGGCTTGCTAACGAGGTTGGAGAAAAGGGTGAAAAGGAAGACGGTGCTGGCTCTGGAGGAGCTGACTCGGCAAATAGAAGAAACGCACAGCCGGCGGGAAGGGCTGCTGGAGGACGGCTGGCAGCTGCTGGAGGAGAAATCCCGCGTTCAGGCTGAAAACCAGCTTTTCATGGAACACCTGTGCAGGAGGAACGCGCAGTGTAGACAGAGACAGGAGGAGCTGTGGCAGCGGCGTTTCCAAGAATGTGAAGAGATGCAACAGAGGAGACAGGAATTAGCCGCCAGATACAGCCAGGGAAGGGCAGACCTTCAAGCCCAGCTCTCCCGGGGCGGAAAGACCCTGTCCGAGTTGAAGCAGCGGTTGCAGACACTGAAGCCCGTTTACATCGTAAAGGAGAGGCAGGACAAGAAAATGCAGGCCTTAGAGAAGGAGAAAGAGAAAATCCGAGGTGAGACCGCTGCCAAGGACCAGGAGGCACACTTGCAGTTCCTGCGAGAGAAGGCTCTGATGGAGGAACAACTGGAAGACTTACACAGCATGGAGCTGGGGCGGGTCGACACCAGGGAGCTTACTGGGAAGTACCAGGCCTTGGCGCGGGCAGCCAAGCAGGCTCACTTTGAGTTCTGCAGTGGCCTCCACAGGGAGAACCAGCAGCTACGGAAGGAATTGCAGCAACTGAGTCAGGAATACCACAAGCTGGAGGCTACAAGAAGCCATCTGGAAAAGCAGCAGCAGCGGTTGAAGGAGAAGCAGTGGTATCTAGAAACCTTGAGCAGAGGGAGACAACGGTTGCAGGCAGAACAGAAACGGGAGAGTCATGATGGTAATCGGGGTCCCAAAGACTACTATGAGCTGTCCCCTAGGCACTAAGCCAAGAGTAAACCCAAGCAGCATCTATACAACTATTAAATATGAACCAGAGCACTGGGAATAATCTACAACCTAAATATTACCCATCGTGGAGGATAGAATCCGTTGCGTTTCCATGGAGGAGCCTTGTTGGGTTGGCGGTGCCTTGTTGGGATGGCGGTTGTGCTCCTGGCCTGAACTCATTTCATTTGCTTTCCTCTGTCATGAATGCCAGAGTTTGATAATATTTAGAAAACTCATCTTTTAAAGAGTCTTATGCCATCCATCACTATATCAACATTCCTAATTCTAAGATGTTAAGTAAATTTATCTAGCCACAGTATGTGCTTTTGTTTTAGGTCACTTTTTTTTTCTTAACATATGTACTTTGTAGACCACAAAGTGGCTTTTGTAATTAGCATGTTCTCTATGGTTTTGTCCATTTAGTAACATCAGGAATTGTATTTTAAATTGGTCCAGACTTTTATTTGGGGTGTTAGAATGTTGTGGCATATTTGTCAAGGGCTGATGCTGAACTGGTCATTTGTGGAACTATGGACCCTGGTCTGGGAGTGTGGTTCCATGTTTGAGCAATGTTCCTATATAAAAACATGTAGTTAGCTTTGTATCTTCTTGGAATTGGCAATGAAATTTTTTCAGCTGTCTTTATATATAAAATAAATTTACTCAAAATTGAATTAGAAAAAATTCTCCTCCAGTGTGCCTTTAGCTTCTGGCTTTAATATTTTTGCCTGTATGAAATCTGTACTTTGTTACTAAACAATGTCAGTTTTATAAAGCAGTTTTGGCTCGTGGTTTTAGAGGTTGCAGCCCATGGTCCTTTGCTCCATTGCTTTGCCCTGTGATGGATCATGGCAGGAATACAGGTGAGATAGGAGGCCTGTTCACATCACAGTGGCTAAGAATTACGTAAAGAGAATGACAGGAAGGGCTTTGGGTTCCAATGTCTTATTTAAGGACATGCTCTTAACCCTAACTTCCCCTGGGCTCTACCTCCTGAAGGTTCTGCCACCGCTCAGTAGTGCTATAGGCTGTGGAGCCTAACATAGAGGCCTTTGGGGGGACATTTCCAATCCAGACTACAACACTGTATCTCAAAGGTGAAAGGAATAGGTCATATACTAGGATACAAAGAGCTTAAGATGCATATTCAAACAGATGCTAATCTCTGTCTCCAAAGATGCTAAGGCTGACCCATCAAAGGCACCCCCCTCTAGGTTATTTTAATGCAGTGAAGAGAGGGTGTGCAACACCGTGTTTCTTACTGAACTGATGTGCCAATAAACAGGACATATACACTGACAGTATGGTCTAGAGAGGGCGCCTACTCCAGTCCAAACCAGGTTACTAATCAAGAGGGAGTCAACAGTCCAACTGACCTGAGCCCTGTGCCCACTCCTGTAGGCTCCCTAGTCCCCCAGCCCACTGATTGCCCACATTACTGCAGTTCTTCCTCCGGAAGCTTTGAGGTAGGGACTTGAGAAATGAGTAAACTGTAGATGAACAGCCTTTTAACCCTTAGCTTAAGCTCATGACCACAGAGCATTGATACCCAGGCAAGAGCCCAAAGCCTAGTGTTCAGGGTTCACTTAAGGGCATGGGGTTAGACAGAGTTTATCAATGAAAGGACAAAGAAACCACAAAGAAAATACCTTTTGGGTTCTCCCCCTAGCTGTCCTGAGACTCACTGCCCTAGTTTAGTTTCTGTTGCTGTGATAAACATCACGACTTGGAGAGAAAGGGTTTATTTCATCTCAGAGATTACATACAGTCCATCATCTAGGGAAGCCAGGGTAGGAATTCAAGTCAGGAGCTTGAAGCAGAAACCTCAGATGAACACTTATTCCCACGCTCATGTTAACCTACCTTTATTATATAGCCCAGATCCAGCTGCCTAAGGATGCGCCACCTACAGTGGGCTCCTAAATCAATTAAGAATCAAGAAAATGCCCCGTAGAGGTGCTCACAGGCCAGTCTAATGGTGGCAGTTCTACAACTGAGGGTCTCTCTTCTCGGGTCAAGTTGATAAGCAAGATTAGCCATTACCATCACTTTTTAATTTCTTCATATTCAATTCCCTTCCTGATTATACAGGTTCCTTTAACATGTAAAGATCTATAATCCTTTTGGGTTATCAACCCCTGGAATATTTGGGGGATCCTGGCAGAAAGTGTATAGTGGATGGCACATCCTACAGAATGAATTGTTTCAGAAGAGGATTCTTTACAGAGCTGTGGAAGGTGTGTGGAAGCCACAGGATGCTCCTTGATCCAGGAATCATAGTCTCTTGCTTCCCAAAGGGAGAGCCTGAGGGTCAAGGAGAAGGATCATGACCACACCCCACAGAGGGAGCACCTCTGAAGAGGGTTGGGATGGCTAGCTTCAGTCAGCTTCAGTTGCCTCATAAGAAAGAAGTCCTGTCCTCTTCTGTGTCCTTTCAAGCTCTCTTGTAGCAGAGCCCATTAGGAAATCTGCAGTGTTAGTTAGCACTTTGTTACTGTAACAGATACTTGAGAAAAGGTTCATTTTTGTTCCCAGATACAGAAGTCCATGATCAATTAGCCCCCTTGTTTGGTGAGGTAGCATACCATGGCAAGGAATGTGTGGAGGGGCAAGCTCACAGCAAGGAAGTCAAAAGAGGAAGGGGAAGGGTGGAGTCCTGCTATCCTCTCCAAAGGCCCATTCCCCAATGATCTGAGTGTGTCTCACTAGGCCTTTCCTCTTCAATGGTTCAGCACTTCCCACTCGTGCCATGCTGGGGAACCAAGCCTGGAGCACAAGGGCCTTTTGTGTTCAAAGGGACACTTGAGATCCTAATTCATACCATCCTGTCAAGACAACTTGCATTGGTCTGCCTCCTGGCACAGAGCAAGGTGAAGAGTGGATATAGAGGAGTAAAAGACAGATACCTTCCACTCTCCCCAGCAGCACCATTCATGAGGACAGTAGGCCTGCTCATCAGAACAAGAGCCAAGCATACAAAATGGCCCCTTTGGTCCTCAACATGAGTGTTGATTGAGACTTATGGGGATTTATGTATATAAAGCTTTGAGTTTGTGAACTTTCAGTCTTTAACAGCTGGTTGAACAAATGCCTGCACAGGATCCCTGGGTCACCTGCAGCCTGTAGGGTCTTTCTTTCCCTGTTCTAACACAGAATGAATGAATGAATGAATGAATGAAGAAAGGAGGGACAGAAGGAGGGAGGGAGGGAGGGGGTAGGGAGGGAAGGAAGGGAGGGAAAGAAATTAGTAAAAGAAAGGATCAGAAGGAGACTACAAACCTACACTATTTTAAGAGAATATTTCAAATGATGGCTATCTAAAGGAAGATTTATGCCTGGAATTTACAAGGTCAATAAAATCAACCATTGGAAGAAAAGGAATGATTTTTCAACCCAAAACTTTCTCTTCTATTTGCTTTGCTAAGGAAAAGGCAAACTGGTGGGTAGGTAATTGTGAGGACCTTGATGTAAATACCAGATTGTCTTTCCTCATAAATGCTTTTAAAGCTCTCTGGTGCTTTAAACCATCGACACTCACTCCAAGGAATTCATAACCCTTGGCTTTAATATGAAAGCAATAAAAATCACACAGGGTCTTGAATACAAACATGAACCATCCTGCTTAAGATACGATAGTGGTGTCTGCTCAGAAGATGTGGGAAAGAAGCCAGGGAGTCTTTAGACTTGAACAGAATGATCTAAGAAATCAGCAAGACCTTTAGCATCTCAGAGCACCCCATGAAAAAAACGTGTTCAGTTACATGTTAGATACTTAGCTGCTTGGGGGCATCAAAGCAGTGTGGGAAAGAGGTGAGGAAGAGGAGGAGAGTTGTTTGTTAATTCCAGGTTTACCCTCTCGTTTAAGCCTGTGACAGGATGGTGCTTCAAGGAGTATTTTGCTAGGTTCTGATGTTTGTTCTGCTCCATTTATACAAGTCCTGGTTTTGATGGCGATAACAATCTGGACCTTGAGGAAAGGGTTGTCTCATACGATAAAGCCCATCAGTGTTGGGTCCATGAGATTTTACAACCCAGAGCCCTTTAAAACCAGTGGGAAATGGCCCTCACACCAGCAGCCCTCCCTGGAGTAACTGGCCTAAATGATGTGTTGGCGCCAGACTCTCTTGAGAGGCAACTGAGAACCAGATTGAAACACTCCTGAAGTAATTTCCCTTTGACCTATAGCCATCTGTACCTTTGAACTTCCCCAGGAAGTGAAACAGAAGCAGAGGGCCTAGTACCAACCTCGAATTCCTAAAATATTTTTCTGAAGATTGGAATTATCCAGAAACTTCTAAACCAACTTCTTCTGTACCATTCACCCTTCCTTCCTTATCCTGTTGTGAGAGTGTTCTGTTTTTAAATCTTCCACAAAGACCCTTTCTCCAGGAATTCTTGAAAGCAGCCACTTCCCTTTGTCACTGATGGAATGCCCACTGAAGGGGGTCACTGGTTTGGAGCAGGACAGGAGGGATAAGATCTGGGTCCTGTCCCCTCTGGACACCTCCTTCTTGCTGTGGATTCACTTTTCATCACAGGAGGGATAATCGCCTGATGAGCATCCTTTCTACAAAGCAGGGGGAGCCCACAGGAGCTAGAATCTCACCCTTTAGAGTAGACATGTCACACTGGGTCCCAGGATACCCATGTGCTTTTGATGAGAGCGTGAGGAATTAGTGGAGAGAATGGAAAAAGGAGTCTGCTGACAAGTTTGTCAGAAGTGGGTATTGGGCTCAGAGACTTATTGTCTGGAATCTTTAGATCTTAAAGGAAGAGTGAGAGCGAGGCTGTTGCTGTTGAGTTGAGTGACGTTTCTCTTTATTAAAAAGTTATGAAGTTTGGCGGTAGAACTGTCGGTAAAAGCTCAGGGTTTTTTTGCTGTTTTTTTTTTTTTAGCAGTTTGTAACTGGACTGTTAAATGAAGGGTTTTTTAAAAAGGTTATTTATACTTATTTTATGTGTATGAGTGTTTCACCTGCATATATGTTTTGTACCCATATGTGCAATGACCACAGAGGCCAGAAGAGGGTGTCAGATCCCCTGTAACTGGAGTTACAAATGACTGTTAGCTGCCGTATTTGTGCTGGGAACCGAATCCAGGGCCTCTACAAGAACAGCCAATGCTTTTAAGCAATGAGCCATCTCTCCAGCCCCAAATGAAGTTTATTTGACAGGGAAATATTCTTATTTCTTCAGTAAGTGAAATACTTGCTAAATGGCTATCTAAACATAAATGTAGACATAGGTAAGCTATGTGCATGTGTTTTTAAAAATCTTTTTATTTATTTATTTTTTTGTATATGTATGAGTGTATTGCCTACATGTATGTAAATGCAGCCATGTCGTGCAATGCCCATGGAGGTCAGGAGAGGGTGTCAGATTCCCTGGAACTGGAGTTACAGACAGTTGTTAGCCACCATGTGGGTACTGGGAATTGAACCTGTGTCCTCTGCAAGAGCAGTCAGTGCTCTTAACAGCTGAGCCATCTCTCCAGCCCTGCATGTGTTTTTAAACCTATATAATATCCATACATATG